AAGTTAACGACAGACTGAGGGGCGGAAGGAAGGAGACAGAGGTCTGCTGGTAGAGGAGGAGGACAACACACACACACATCACTGGGCCAATCGTTCCTGGTCGCAGCCACACAAGTGGTTTCACTCCTCCTTTTTCCTCAGTTTATTCCATCCCCAGAGTAGTTTATGAACAGCTAAAAGGGACCTAGTCTCGATAGGGTTTGAGAAGATAGCACTCACACTGCCTTTCCTGACGTAGTCAGGGTCCTTGTAGATGTCGCGGGCCAGGCCGAAGTCGCAGATCTTTACCACGTTGTTCTCTGACAGCAGGATATTGCGAGCTGCCAGGTCTCTGTGGATGCACTGAGGGCACACAAAGAGGAAGGGCCAAAATCAGAGGGACAGGAACCACCATCAGAAAGTTCAGGGCATACTCCTCCCCTCCCAAACCTGAGCTGTCATGGGGGAATGGTGGAAGTGGGAAGGAGTTAAAGATAAATATTTCAAAAGGAGATGGTTAAGGAGAGGATGAGATGCCAGAGGACTCATTTCCCTCCTCTCTGTACACCTGGCTACCTCAGACTTCCTGAGAAGTGTGAGGCAGATCACTGAATCTCTCTGTGTGTCACCCGTAAAGTGGCTGTAGGCAGGTCTTGTGTGGTCAGACATGCACAAAAGAAGAGGGGAGCTAAGGAAAAGGTGAACTCACCTTTCGGGATGCCAGGAACTCCATGCCACGTGCCACCTGGAAGCTGTAGCAGATCAGGTCTTCCATTGTCAAGGGACTTTGCCACAAGTCATCCACTGTCCAGGAGTACAGGAAAATGATTAGACAGTGAGTGGTCTCTTGTTCCCCTTACTCTCTCCTGGACTGTGGGATACAATACTCTTGGTGAGATACAACTACTCTTCAGTGCTAACTGGAGTAACTAGCTTCCTTCTAGGATTTTTTGCTTAGGTGGCAGAAAGCATGTGGCAGGAACCTGCTCCGGTGTCAGGAGAATGAATCCAGCTTCCACCACACATCAGTCAGACAGAGCTGTGGGAAACAGGGCTGGAAAAGACTTGAGGGTCAGCTCATCATTCCTGTCCTAGGGAAGACCCACTGAAATTCCCCTCAATTCTCTTTTCTTTAGGCTAAGACAATCCAAAGGAATTTAATCCTCCCTTTTGGGCTTCGAGAGTCTATTACAATTGACAACAGATGACTGCAGTGGCCCTGTTCAGGGATTTTCATGCAACAGTTATCAGCCCTCAAGGCCTGGTCCCTGCTGTCATGCCCTACCCATTCCCCAGGCTATCCAAGCCTGGCATTGTTTTGGTGGTGAGGAGCTGCTGCTGTGGCTGGAGCGTTACCTTCCTGGATCGGCTGCGCTGTCGGGCTCTTGTGCAGCAGAAAGCGGTTGAAGATAGCGCTGTCGCTAGTCCCAGACCGACTCCTCCTGTCTGCTCTCACTGCCTCCACGATGGACTGGACCTGAATACGCAGCCTGGGAGACTTCTCCTGACAAGGAGACCAAAACGAAAACCTCAGCAGACAACACACACTGAAACCCCTGCACCCACGAGCTGCACAGCCTGCTCCTCTTCTTAGACTGTAATTCCATCTTGGAAGCACCCATCTTCCATTGCAGAAAGAAATTACTTCCCTGATGTGCGCATGAATCAAGATCACTTGGTCAAAGTGTTGGGTGTGTTTGTCCCAGTGTCAGATCATGTTTCAGGCTACACATCTTCCTTCCCTAGCCATGGGACAGGTCCCTAGGGGCAGAGGAAGGTACTTACCCTGTAAGGACTGAATCCTTCCCGCTTGGTCCGCAGGTAGTTGGAGAGGTTTCCATACTTGCAGAACTCAACAATAACCATGAGTGGACCTGGTGAGAGGGCACCAAAGTCAGGGGAGGAGATAAGGGCTTAGGATGGTCAGAATTTGCCCCAACTCATGTTATGTGCAGCCCTGCTGAGCTGTGGCACCTGCCCTGAGTGCACACAGACACACTAATAACATCCCTGCATGTCCCTGTGGTCACACACATGGCCAGCAGAAAGGACACAGGGGACAAACACTGATCTCTGGGAGCGGGCACAGCCTGCTGCCCTGGAGTATTTACCATTGGGTTTGGTGCAGGCACCCAGCAAATTCACCACGTTGAGGTGATTCCCGATGTGAATGAGGATCTTCAGCTCTGACATCAGTGCCTTGTGCTCGCTTGCAGTAGCTCCCTCTGGAAACACACAGACCATGTCATGATGCCTTCTCACAGCTTTTTCACTCCCCCTCACCACCCTTCTCTTAGCAGAGTGCTAATGGGAGTCTTGCTGAGGAGGCTGTGACCCCGAACCCTTGGTACATTTTGTTACTGCATGTTCCCATATGAAATTTCAGAGCCTTAACTGGAGATCCCAGGATCCTTGCTGTACTGTGTAGGGTGCTGCCAGCAGGGGCAGGGACCCAGAGCAAGGGACAACACAGCTTGTTCCCAATACATTTTTCCTTGTTCTAGT